TATCTATCTATCTATCTATCTATCTATCTATCTATCTATCTATCTATCTATCTATCTATCTATCTATCCTTAAGTTTTCGCGTGTACTTACATGTATGGTATTCAGCTTTGTTCAGGTATTTTCCCACGTCATTGTAGTTGTGCTTTTAAAGTTTTAGCAACGTCTCGGCAGAATCTCATCTGCCATCATCAGGCTTCTTTATATCGCTCCAGACGAATACAATACAGAATCCTGATGATGGCAGATGAGATTCTGCCGAAACATTGGTACAACTTTAAAAGCACAACTACAATGACGTGGGAAAATACCCGAACAAAGCTGAATACCACACACACACACACACACACACACACACACACACACACATATGTATATATAGAATGAATATATATTCATTCTAAATATTATCTGAAGTAATAAATGCAAAGAGGACCATTTTGGAAATACGATACATAAATGGAAAATAACTGCATAGGTTCTTCATGCTGTTGGAATTTTGCCTGGTATTAATTTTTGTATTTTTAAATATGTATTGATTAACTTAGGAAAATTGATATATTCATGTGGAATTCAAATTGCAGATCTTTTACAAGACAAATCATGCTTAAAAATGACCACTACATCCCCTGTCCCCAAAGATTGAGTGACTTCATTTATGAGTCATGGATAGGCAACCTAGTAGTTGTTGGTTAGAAGTGGCATTCAGTAGCCCCTCTTTTCATATGATAGCTGGTGCTAAGGCTCCCAGATAACTTTCCATTAGCTTAGCAGATTGGCTGCATAGCCATAGTATGATACTATTGAAATGATTTTTCATAGTAAAACTCAATAATTACTCAATTATAATCTGACAGGCGTACTCCCTATGATTGTTAGAAAGAGAACTTCTCCAGGTGAAGAGTTGAAGAGGAACAAGTTTTATGTGCATATATATACAAACTGTGTTTATGTATTTTAGATACTGTATGTACCTGCCTGATTGGTAAGCAGCGTAATCCACAGTAGTGAAAAGCTATATCACATTAGATTGAAGATATGCCTGGAAAGCAGGACAATTTACCAAACTTGTTATGCTAATGACATAATAACAAAAAGTAAATCACTAAAGATTTAGTAGGTCATTAGAGCAGGACCAATCTACAAATGCTAATTGTTGAGCAAAGCTGAACATTCTGCATATTGGGTAGGAAACTGTAAAATCATATATTTTGGATTTTCAGTGTTCTTCAAAGGAGTTGTTCACAAAGAAAAATTGCAATACATTGAGAATCTTTAAATATTTGGTTCAGGATCAGTACCCAAAAGGTTCAAACACATGTCGAGGTATATCCAGTAGGTTTGAGAGGCTTCTTCTGATCATGCAAGGTTGTTAATTCATTTTGAATCAAAATTAAGGACAGCACTGACAAGAAAATTGTTAGATTTTCTTCAGCTGTCAGCAGTATTATACCAATTATTATTATACCAATACCCAAAGGAGTCTTGTGTTTAAAATAATGTCACTAAATCAAGGACAGATAATTAGATTAACTTGCATGTAGTTTCTCCACTCAGCTGGGCAGTGTTAAAGAGAAGGGGAGCATTTTGTTAATTTCAGGTTTCAATCCAGATTTGGTCCAAATGTAACTTCATTTCCCCAACCCACCCACTTCTAAATATTATGTACTGGAAGAAAGAACATTGCTCTGGCCTTGTGGCCTTTCTGTACTACTTCAGACAGCTGGTTGAGTTGCCTGCCATAAAGCTCAAATTAAGATCTGGACAAGACCTGAAGAGAGATCCATGAGTCAGAACTACATGGATAAGCACTGGGCCATTTGGCAACATTTGCACAGGAAACTCTCAAATCCAATTCTATCATAGCAGGATTATTTAGATTTATATTCTAATTTCATCCAGGAGTTTAAAACTTATGAAGAAAAAGCTTATGAAGTTACTTGGGCTGAGAGACAGAAATAGACCCAACTCATCAGTGAGTATTTGTGGTTAAGGATAGATTGGAATTTTAAATACAACTTCTTAAATACTATACCATTCTGACTCTCTTTGTTTTGTTGTAGACTTAAGAAGTGGCAGAAGGATACCAATGTGTATTGGATGCAGCAGATTCTGCTGAAGGAACCATCAGTTTTTAAATCTTAAAATCTAACGCAGGGGTCCCCAACCTCCAAGCTGTGGCCCACTACCAGGCTGTGGCCTATTTGGAATTAGGCCATCTGAGTACCTGGCCAGAGCATGTGCGTACACCTACACAGCTCAGCTTATGTGAGCGGCAGGCTGGTGAGCACTTGCATGTGTGCGCAGCAGCCCACTTCTTGTGCCACCCTGCTGGTTGTGCAGCCCAGTTCCTTTCTCTTCCCCTGGACCACTAAGCCTCAAAGGTTGGGGACTGCCGATCTAAAGGATTTTGTCATTAGATGTCATTTTTATGCTTTCATTGTGGAAGGAATAACTCTGAGCAAAGTTATTTATTAAGGACAATAGGAAAATTTGCTAAAATGATCCTGCTATTATTAATCTTTCCTTGCTCATCTTTTACTATTTTTTCCTGAATGAAATTAATATGAGAGAAATAGTGGATTGTTTATAGCATTGCTAAAGAGCATTGTAATAATTCCCTGAAATTGATTTGCCTTTTTGCTGTTAAAGCCAGTGGCTTATTTTGTGATGATTGATGTAATGTATTTATTTCTGGAAGAGCCCGACTAACTTCAAGACCTTTTCTCTGGAGTAAATAACTGGAAGCTGCAATCAAAACCCATGAGCCAGCAGATGTACTTATCCTCCATCGGGATTAATTTGCATTAAAGCAGGGAGCCAATTAGTGCTCCTTTGGATATTTCAAAATTATAGAAGCTTGTGCCTTAAGACAACTTTCAATGTGCTAAATGTACACAAGCAAACAAACTGCATAAATCTCACTTTCAGTTGGTATAAATTCATCATAGAAGGATGAACTCAAATTATGTTAGACAGGCACGTTTGAGAATGACCACAATGTCTAGAAAGACTCACTTTGGCTTTCACTTTATCTATTGCTTATGGAATCAACAAGGGGTTAGCTGAGCAATTATGAGACAAAGAGCTTTGGCTTGCTCTACTCTAATGTCTGGTTTCTTTGCTAGCTATAATAAAAATGCCAAAGATGAAGATCTGATTCCTTCCTGGACTGCAAGCAGTAGGAAGGAAAATGATGTACCTAACATGCTAATTTTGCTTTGCATGATGCAAATATAGAGAGGGCAGAAGATCTTCTGTGTCTCCTAGCCATACCGAGTGCTATAAATTCTGGAATATTGTTCCCTCTATTAAAAACTTCCCAGACAAGATTCTATTTCCCCAGTGACTGGATCGACACACTGTTCCTTGAAGCAATAGTATCCCTTCATGCACAGTGTAGTGTGTTTGTGAATGAGCTCTAGTGGTTGGCTCATACTGGATTGCAGTATTGCAATCTAACTCTGCCCACATCTTGGAGTTCAGTCCTGATGGAACTCAAGGCTGACTCAGCCTTCCATCCTTCTGAGGTCAGTAAAATGAGGACCCAGATTGTTGGGGGCAATATGCTGACATTGTAAACCGCTCAGAGAGGTGCAGTCTAAGTGCTATTGATATGGCTATTAATAAAACACCATGATAGCTGGAAATAAATGTGCTTGTTAGAAAAAATACATTCTTAATTTAACAAGTGACAAAATTAAGCATTTTATTGTTACCTGAAAGGCATCCTAATGTTCATTCTTTCAGCATATTTGCAGAGTGTGTCCCAAGGACAATGAATTTTTACAAACATAATGTCATTGTTTGTAACAGCTGGCTGCAAAAAAGAAACAATGTAACAGGCACAAATCTTTCAGATTCAGGTGCATTCTCTTTATTTTCTTCTTTAAAAGTTCACATTTAGTTACATAAGTGTATGGTATTTAAACTGTCTACTTGAACAGAAGAATACATGCAGGAGTACAAATAACCTGTATGCATTCTTCTTTGGTCAAAACAAGAGAGGAATTTTGGCTTACCTGTAACCTAGCTAGGATTGCAGTTTATCAAAAAAAGCCAGAGTTAACACACTGGTTCAAAAGCTTCATGGATGTTATCCCATAAAGTCATAAGTTATTTTTTTGACCAATCTTAATAAATCACAGAGCAATCCTTCAGACAAAGGTGTTAAGAGGGGAGTGTTGTCTAGTTCGAAGGCATAGATCCAAGGAATTTTATATGCTCAAGAAAACTGCATATATCATTTAATATTACAGGTATGTTCTGCCACAAATCAGACCTTTTGAAGGCTGGGGAAGGAAGACCTTTCAGTTTCCAGGCTTCTAGTTCATGCTACCCTCACAAGGCAAAGGAGAGGGCAGTAGTCACTCCCCAAACCTGCCTCTCCACTCCACAAATCCCTGTTTTTATTTTATACTGCAAAGCAAGGCTCTTTAAACTTGGCAAGTTCAAGACTTGTGGACTTCAACCCCCAGAATTCTTAAGCTAACATGACTGGAGGAGGAATTCTGGGAGTTGAAGTCCACAA